AATAGGGACCTGAAAAGGATTTTGGAAAAGACAGTGGCTCGCACAAGAAAGGATTGGAGTTAAAAGCTTGATGACGCTTTATGGGCATTTCGAACTGCGTATAAGACACCTATTGGAACAACTCTGTTTTATTTGATCTATGGGAAGTCATGTCATTTACCGGTGCAAATTGAGCACAAGGCGTTATGGGCCTTTAAGAACATTTTCATTGACATGTCTGAATCAGGTAGAGAAAGATTCTATCAACTTGACGAGCTAGATGAGTGGCGAGCATTAACATTTCATAATGCTAAAGTGTACAGGGAAAAGATAAAGCTATCATGATGCTCATATCAAACAAAGTCAAGTTTTTCATGAAGGAGACAAGGTGCTGCTCTACAACTCTCGGTTGAGGTTATTCCCAGGAAAGCTCCGAGCAAGGTGGACGGGACCGTACACAGTCACTAGAGTCCTCCCCTATGGGACTCTCAAAATTAAAGGTGACTCAGGAATGTTCAAGATAAACGATCTGCAGGTAAAACGGTATTTGGGGGAGCAGTACCAGAAGAACGAGGTGGAGATCAAACCCGTTAGAGAAGCGCTGAATGGGAGGAAACCCATTATGTTTCCTTTATTCTTCTATTTTTCTTTTACTTTTTATTTTATGATTGGATGAAAAGAACAAAGACTTGTCGCACCTGTGAGGGGGCAAGATTTTATATATATTTGTTTCAAATAGGAGAGGAAAAAGCCTTTTATATACACTTTTTCTCTCTTATGGCCGAAACTATTTCTTTCAAATAGGAGAGGAAAAAGCCTTTTATATATTATTAAAAGAATAATATATAAACATATACAATTGAGAAAGGCCAAATGTACACTTATAATGAAGTTTAGTGGGAGACAAAGCCCCCCCACACACACAAGGTAGCATATGTACGAAATAAATAAGGGGGGGGGGGGGGGGAAGAATTTAATTCTTCTCCTCTCAATTGTTTAAAGTGTATTTTATTTGACATCAATAATTTTTATGATATAAAATAAAATACCCAAAACATTTTAAAACCAGTATATAAAATATACTTTAAAATAGTTTTTGTCAAAATAATTATTTTCATAATTAAAATGACACCTCAAAATAAAATGTACACAATATTATATATATATATATGTATGTATGTATGTATGTATGTATGTATGTATGTATGTATACATATATGTAAACATGATATGTATATACCTAAAAAAATATATATATTTTCGTACACAATATATATACATATATTATATTAAAACATTTTATTTTACTATTTTACAATATACAAATTAAATATTATCCCTTCTTATAATCCTACTCTTTAAAGTGTCCAAAGTGTGTGACCGATATATGCACTTATAAAATTGGCCACAGTATTGACTCTACACTAATACTATAAGTAATAAGCGGTATCTAGCAACACATTATTATCCTCAGATTATAAGTTCAGATGTTTGCTCCGTCAAAACCTTTCTACGACTAAGACTTTGTATAACGTAGCCTTTTGTCCCAATGTCTTAACTTAGTGCAAGGGATATAAAATAGCCAACTTGTAGTCATTAAGTTATTTACTGATTAACAAGTCTGACTGATGAGAACAGATGTCTAAACTCATCTCAGCATGGCCATGCATTTCCTCAGTCATACTTATCAGTGGGCCCCTACAAGACATTATTCTACTAAAGTAGCAGAGACAAATTCTTTGTACTAAACGGCATGCCCAATACAAAGCCTGTGTACCATCCTTATTTCATACGGCTTATGACAATGAATCAAAGCATACGGGTTCACGCATTCGAAGAACGTAATACTTCAAGTTTAAGGATCGTTATACCAATAGTCACATTATGGACACTTAGAGCATAGACTAAAAGCCTAGGCAATGTCCTTAAGGTGGGTCAGGTCTGACATCCTATTATTAACGATAATATCCACCCGAGAGTAGATGCGAACACTCTGTCATTGACTAAGAGACTAGGTCAATCATCTAACTCTCACTAATCTCACATGCACTAACGATATCCCACTCTCGTTAATGCTTCGACTATAGACCGTTTAGAATTATACTAAGTGACAAGATGTCAGTCTCAACATCAGAAGACTCATTCTGATAAACATCTTATAATATAATTCTAGGAATGCAATTAAGAGTTTCATTGGCATGAGATGTTTGTAAACTTATAACATATCCCTTTAAATGATAGAAAATAAGTAAGATATTACAACAGCAGTTGGCCGTAAGGGCACCAACTCCAACACACTCTTTTGACCCGGAGCCTTTTGATGCTATGAGCCGGGTGAGCTTCTGGATCCAGCTGACTTGGAATATATTATCTTTCGTGTAATCGACATCCTTCTTCGAAAGGCCGTTGAACAAGGATCGTGTGTATGCCGACGACCTCATAGTCTTCTGGAGCTTGCCCACACGTCAGCTGGCGAATGTGGCCGTATTTCTGGCTCGATTTCTATACAGCCAATCGTTAGGGAACCAGACGCACATCATTTGCGGCTTTGATGTTACGCTACTCTTTCGGTCCCTCATGGGGGTCGCGCCCATTCCGAGGTTTAGATGCTGATTCGAGACTTTGACTTGGGCATGCTGCGGAATGCTTATATTCGCAGGAGGTTGGGATCTAGCTATTTCGAGAGCAACACTGCTTCCTCCGCTGCGCCACTCACATTTAGAGCATCTTCCCAGCCTTCGTCTAGGAGAGTCGCTCGCTGCTGCCCCTCCGCCTTCTGAGCCCGTGCATCCACTTCCCAGGAGGAGTCAAACCTTGATGGGGCCCGGAGGATCTTGGAGCAGCAGGAGCCCATTATTCGGACTATGCGCCACTATGGAACAACAGAAGACATCCTAGGCTGAGAGCTTTTCATAACTACAAAACGTGTTCTCGAGGTTCTATAAGATGTGCAGACTCGTCTCACACCCCATCCTCTTGAGGGCGATGTGTTAGAATAAGTGCCCTTCACTAGAGGGGAGGAGGTGAATAGTGAGGCACGAGAATGTTTATAAACTTTTGCGGAATAAAAATCGCAGGGATAAAGTAAAGAGCGGAATAAAAAAGCATAAGGAATGAACACACCAAATTTACCCTGGTTCACCACAACTTGTGCCTAATCCAGCCTTCCGAGAGGCTCTCTCGAGCTACACTACTTCCGTTAAGCTTACGGGTGCTTAACAAACCGTTACAACCTGAGAACTCGAGTCCCACAAGCCTCAACAACACTTGCTCGGAGATACCGCACTCCAAGACATCAACCCGAAGGAAAGTACCTTTCCTTCGTACAACCAAGGGAAACAAACTTCCCTTAATGTCTATAAAAACTAAGAACACTCAAGAACAAGGCTCTCTCAAAAGAGTGAATATGAGTAAAGTAATACGCTCAAGGTCACGACACGAACTTCACAAAAATGGCTCTCGAAAAGCTATGAATAATGTATGAATAATATGCAATGAAAGAATAGGACTTGTGAAGTAATGTGATATGTAAAACAGACCTAAACACCCCATTTTATAGTGCCAAAATAGGCTCCAACGGGTCAAAACATTTAAGGGGTGATTGGCTTGATTTGTGAGATTTGATTGAAATTGGATCTGCTGAAAATCAGCCAAACAGCGCTGTCCTAGGCTTGGACATCGTTGTTGTAGGCTTGGGTTTTGAAAAATGGGAAGCAACGGTCATGCCAACAACGATGTCCAATACCCCTACATCGCTGTTTTGGCTGTTGACTTCCAAACAAGGAAAGTTTTATCCTTACATTCCTTCCAACGGTCAGGTCCCTACATCGATGTTCATTACTTGAACATCGCTGTTTAGGTCTGACTTTGAAAGTGGAAAGTTTGGCCTGACAGCGCTGTTGCTGGGTCAACATCGCTGTCCAAAAACTTTCTGCCAGAAGCATTTCTTTTTGGCTTAGGTTGGACAGTGATGTAGGGTAGTCTACATCACTGTTCCAGATGTTTCTAGAAACCCAACCTTGGCTCAACAGCGATGTCTAACATCCAACATCACTGTTGGAAGACTTAACGCGAAACCATGGTTTTCAGCTTCCCATGCCAGACAGCGCTATTGGTTACACCAACATCGCTGTTGGGCTGGTTTAGCCAGACCCATGGTTGGTTTAGTCATGTCGTTAGCCGATGACAAAAATGTAAGTTCTCCAAAATAAAAACCAAGTATTGAAAAAATTTGTTTAATGCATTTTGCTAAGAAATCAAGTAAAACATCTAGAAAACCACGTCATTTAGTTGAAATCCACGGCTAGCCAAGTTTTCGCATGGTTTTCACTAAACGACCAAAAACAAAAGGTGGTTTTTGAAGCGTTTTTGTTGGAGAACTATTTAAATATGCCCAGAAGTAAAAACCAATCATTAAAAGTTGAAAACCACTTGGTTGGTTTGGACGCCAAAAACCAACGCCGATGACCGAAAGCCGAATGCCGTTTTTCGAAACCTGAACGCCGGATGGCTTGGTTTTTGGTTTGGGCGAACTCCAAGTGTGTTTAGGCATGTTTAAAACTTAAGAAGAACATTTTTGAATACGCAAAAAGTATTTTGATGATATGAGCCTAGAGAGCCATGTTTTGAAAGTTTGTGCCGGTCTTGATCACATTAAGACCGACTCAATACAATTCTAAGTCTTCGTTCTTGATTCTATGTTCTTGGTTCTCAAATCATTATGCCATGTTCCTTTGCCTTGGTGTTGCTCAGTTTAATCTTGTTGTTGTCACGGCGGTTTGGTATTATCAAAACCTGTCATAAAACGAACACGGTTTAGTACGACATAGGCGTAAACCCGTGTTCCAACAATTTCCCCCTTTTCGATAATGGCAAACAAGGCGGGGATATGTATACTAAGGGATATTTGATTTTGAAACATGTGAAAAAAAATTCCCCCTTAATTTGTGCTTTTTTTTAAAAAAAAACGAGTAGTCATATTAAAATCAAACGATCCCGTTTTTAGAGAGTTCCCCCTTAGTGTATGCATAACCCTTTTCTTCCCCCTTTTGACATTAACAAAAAGATAAAAGATGATTTTATTTATTAAATTGGGAAATAGCGGAGTACAACGGAAGCAATAATAAAAAAACAAGACAATTGAAGAAAGAAGAGATAAAAATTCTAGGTGCGGCCTAGTCTTCGTCTTTGGTTTCCTCCTCGTCGTCGTCGACGTCCATCTCATCGCCGTCAACGGTGTCATCGAACTCGTCCTCGTCCGGGGAGCTTGACGGGGCATAGGAGCCATCCTCTTCGTCCTCATCACCGTACACTTGCCTAAGGAACGTGCCTTGGTACGGTGGGGGGAAGTAGTTGACGCGTTGGAAGTATGCGTTCATGGCGTGCCCTTGGCGTTGAACAACCTCGTCGAGCCGCTCAAGGTAGCCATCCATCCCGTCAACTTTGAAGTGAAGCCGGTTGAGGGAGTCGGCGATGGAGGCAAGGTTGGCCCGGGCCTAGGGTTCGGCTGGGCCACAGCAGAACGGCGCCATGGCGCGGTAGTTACAGTGGCAGGTTCGGTGTTGTCCGACCGCTTCTTGAAGGTTTGGGTGCTGATCGCTCAAATCTTCGTGGCCTTCGTGAGCGGGCCAACGGTGGTGGTCACCTTGAACTGTTCAAGGATGTCCATAACCTCGAACGGGTACGGGAGGAGGTGATCGTGGTTGGTGGATGCGGCGACTGTCATGTTGATCATGACAAACTTCGCCCAATTGATTGGCGCTGAGTGCATGTTCGCATGGAGGAGCTTGAGGTCCTCACCAGACATGATCGTGTGCCCATGCTTCCGGGGCTTGATGATTCGGGACACGATGTAGAGAAGAAGCCTGCTCTCGGGGTTTGCGGAGTGGATGGTGGGGTGGCCCGAGGCATGGGGGATGAGCTCGGTGATGCCAAGCTCGTTGAGGATCATGCCCTCGTTGTTGAGCACCCAGTCCTCTCCGCCATAGTGGGAGACATCGTCGCCTTGGTAGGGGAGGCCGACGATGCGCCCAAGCTGCTCAACGGAAAGCTCAATCGGCGTGCTCTTGACAAGAGAGTAGAGCACGTCGTCCTCACGCCGGAGGTTGGAGTAAAAGACCCGAATCAGCGCCGGGTTGATCTCCTTCCGAGCCCGGGAGACGAACGACCAAAGGCCGGCTTGGTGAAGCTGCGCGTCTAGATCGTCGTAGCCTTGCAACTCCGGGAAGCGCTCCGGGACGATCCGTGGTTGAGCCACAACCTGTTTATAGAAGAAGGTGAGGAAACGGGGTGCGCTCCTCCTTGGAATCGAACCAAAGATATGATCCGTCGCCGTAGTAGAGGCGCTCCTCGGAGTTTGTTGACGGTGCCTGGGATTTGGACTTCATTTTCCCGGAGGTGGCAGCCCTGCTCTTGTCTTTGCCCATGGTGAAGAGATCTCAAGAGAAAAGAGTGGAGAAGATGAATTATGCAAAGTTATTGAAGAGAATTGTGTTTGTGTGTGTAAAAGTGAAGAGAGGGGGGCCCAATTTATAATAAAAGATGTTCTCAACGTTCAGATTTTCAAAAATATGGCTGTTGGAGTAATTAATGCAGTTGCCAACGGATTTTTGTTTTGAAAAATTTATCCAGAACAGCGATCTTCTGAAGGCTACATCGCTATTGGGACAGCGCTGTTGCGCCTCTGGACATCGCTGTTTTGCGTCAAGTTTTAAAAACAAGTGTCAAATGGACAACGATGTTGGGTATCCTACAGCGATGTTCCCAAAGTTTCTGGAAGTGTGTAAGGGTGTGCACCCATTAGAACAGCGCTGTTGGGTTTCCCTACATCACTGTTTTACGATAGAAAAAAAATTTGTAAAAAAAGGACAGCGATGTTGAATAGAAGGACATCGCTGTTTGAAAAGTTTTTGGTTTGGGTTGAAAACAAGGTGTTTAGGGTAGACAGCGATGTTTTGAAAAGAGACATCGATGTTTAAAAAGTTTCTGGAAAGCAAAGGTAAAGGGAACTCCCTGGGACAGCGCTGTTGGTGTATTCTACAGCGCTGTTGGCTCAAGCTGGTTGACGATGTTTCCTTCAACAGCGCTGTTGGGTCTCCTGGACAGCGCTGTAGGCATGGTTCCCCCTGATTTTATGAACGGGGTACCTGCAAAGTAACACTTTGGTACCCAAAATATTTTTATGGGTCCTTGGAGGTTAATTGATTTTTATTATCCACACACACACCGAAAGTTTATTTCCACACACACCTTCACACACTCGGTTTGATGATAATTTAGGGGTTACCTTGGCCAACCCGTCGTCCCGTGGTTGGCGGGTTCCAGTCTACCTGAACGGAATGCCGATATCTCGGTGTGATTTGTGTCGGTTCCGGTAACGGAATATGGACTTTCTTCTTTTCATCAAAGTAGAAGAAATAGTAAGATTTCTTTTGTGCATTAGCCTGTGGAGATTGTTTATGATACGAATATCCTTTTCTAAAGGATTTCTTTTCGTTAGCACCAAATATGTTGTGTGTTTCATTATAGGTGAGATGCCTATGTCTAGTAAAACACACGGGAGCTATATGTCCTACCTTATTGCAATAATGGCATACTACGTTTGGGTTGAACATATGCCTAGGTTGATAATAGCTAGGGGGTCTAACCATATTCATCCTATTTTGAGAAAAGGATGGTTTATGCATGTTTTCAAAAGAATCATTTCTAGGTGTCTTCATGTTATTTCTCCTATTTTGAGAAAAATTATTATTATGCACAAAATCATTTTTCTTAGGTTGTCTACCATGAACATTTTCATTCCTAGGTTTTAGTCTAGGTTGTCTAGTGTCCTTAGGTTGACTAGGTTTTCTATTATCCTGATTTTTAGGTTTCTTACGTTGAGCCTTAGATGGTTGTCTAGATGGTGGCTCAACGTTTTCTTTAACCNTCATGTTATTTCTCCTATTTTGAGAAAAATTATTATTATGCACAAAATCATTTTTCTTAGGTTGTCTACCATGAACATTTTCATTCCTAGGTTTTAGTCTAGGTTGTCTAGTGTCCTTAGGTTGACTAGGTTTTCTATTATCCTGATTTTTAGGTTTCTTACGTTGAGCCTTAGATGGTTGTCTAGATGGTGGCTCAACGTTTTCTTTAACCATAACTTCATTTTTATTAAAACCTATTCCTTTCTTAGAAAAATGCATAGTGTCAAGGAGCAAATTTAAATCTTTGTGCGGAGTATTAAATTTCTTGACCGTACTCTCAAGTTTTGTGACTTGTTCCTTTAAAGCTTTACAAGATTCACATTCGTTTGAGGAACTTTCTGGTTTATCGGCGCTTCTTTTGCCATAAAAATTTATTTTCTTGTTTTAACTTCTCATTATCTTTTTCCAGATTTCCAAAATCATTTTCAAGAGTGGAGAGGCATTTCTTTAACGATTTGTTGATTTTAGAAGCGCTAACAAATTCATCATAAAGTTCATGAAGTGCTTCTTGCATTTCTTCAAAGGTGTGAGAGTCGGAAGAAATGGTACATACCTCTTGTACATCGTCGGTTTGGTCTTCGTGTGCCATGAGACAGAGGTTGGCAGTTTCATCTTCGTCTTGGTCGGTTGACTTGTCGACGGAGTCGCCACCCCAAGCGATATATGCCCTTTGCCTTTTGAATTGACGAGCATTCCTTCCGCTTCTCGGGCATTTGTTCTTGATGTGCCCGGCTTCACCACATCCATAGCACACAGGGCCATCCTCAACCTTCTCTTTCTTCCATAGAAGTTTACAAAACTTCTTCATGACAAGCTTCACTTCATCATCGTCACTTGAATCATTCATCGTTGATTCTTTGACGGCTTTTAATGCTATCCCTTTCTTTTGGTCATTCAAAGACGGGTTAAGAATAGTAGATTCATAAGTTTTTAGATTACCTCTTAGACCGTCAATGGTTACATTTGATGTGCCGATTGATTCATAGATGGCATCGGCCTTGGATCGCCATTCGGATGTCAAGATCCCTGTCGGTGTAAGTCTTCTTCAATGCATGAAGATCGTTGACTATCTTGGAGAATCGGTCGAACATGTCGTCGATATTTTCGTGCTCCTACATTCTAAACGTCTCATACTCTTGGGTGAGGAAGTCGATCTTGGCTTGACGTACTTGGTTCGTTCCTTCGTACGTCACCTCAAGTTTATCCCACATCTCCTTGGCGGTTGTGCAACACGAGATCTTTCGGTAGTCATCAGGGTTGACCGCACAATATAGCATATTGATGGCCTTTGCATAATTCTCAATCTTCTTGATGTCCTCGGCATCAAATTTGTCCTCGGTCTTTGGGACCGTGGTTTCTACCACTTTCTTCATGGGGATTTCCTCGCCATTCTTGATCACCAACCACAATTGGAAGTTGGTGGAACGGATATAGATTATCATCCGTTCCTTCCAATAGGAGTAGTTGGTACCATCAAAGAGTGGTGGCCTAGAAGTTGATTGACCTTCTTCAATTCCTGCATAAAGATTTCTAGAAGAAGAACCCATGATCGCTTTACTCTCAAACGGTTAAGTTTGGATGCGAGTTAGGCTTCGATACCAATTGTTAGAATAAGTGCCCTTCACTAGAGGGGGGAGGGGTGAATAGTGAGGCACGAGAATGTTTATAAATTTTTGCGGAATAAAAATCGCAGGGATAAAGTAAAGAGCGGAATAAAAAAGCATAAGGAAAGAACACACCAAATTTACCCTGGTTCACCACAACTTGTGGCTAATCCAGCCTCCCGAGAGACTCTCTCGAGCTACACTACTTCCGTTAAGCTTACGGGTGCTTAACAAACCGTTACAACCTGAGAACTCGAGTCCCACGAGCCTCAACAACACTTGCTCGGAGATACCGCACTCCAAGACTTCAACCCGAAGGAAAGTACCTTTCCTTCCTACAACCAAGGGAAACAAACTTCCCTTAATGTCTATAAAAACTAAGAACACTCAAGAACAAGGCTCTCTCAAAAGAGTGAATATGAGTAAAGTAATACGCTCAAGATCACAACACGAACTTCACAAAAATGGCTCTCGAAAAGCTATGAATAATGTATGAATAATATGCAATGAAAGAATAGGAGTTGTCAAGTAATGTGATATGTAAAACAGACCCAAACACCCCATTTTATAGTGCCAAAATAGGCTCCAACGGGTCAAAACATTTAAGGGGTGATTGGCTTGATTTTTGGGATTTGATTGAAATTGGATCTACTGAAAATCAGCCAGACAGCGCTCTCCTAGGCTTGGACATCGCTGTTCTAGGCTTGGGTTTTGAAAAATGGGAAGCAACGGTCATGCCAACAGCGATGTCCAATACCCCTACATCGCTGTTTTGGCTGTTGACTTCCAAACAAGGAAAGTTTTAGCCTTAAATTCCTTCCAACGGTCAGGTCCCTACATCGATGTTCTTAACTTGAACATCGCTGTTTAGGTCTGACTTTGAAGGTGGAAAGTTTGGCCTGACAGCGCTGTTGCTGGGTCAACATCGCTGTCCAAAAACTTTCTGCCAGAAGCATTTCTTTTTGGCTTAGGTTGGACAGCGATGTAGGGTAGTCTACATCGCTGTTCCAGATGTTTCTAGAAACCCAACCTTGGCTCAACAGCGATGTCTAGCATCCAACATCGCTGTTGGAAGACTTAACGCCAAACCATGGTTTTCAGCTTCCCATGCCATACAGCGCTTTTGGTTACCCCAACATCGCTGTTGGGCTGGTTTAGCCAGCCCATGGTTGGTTTAGTCATGCCGTTAGCCGATGACAAAAATGTAAGTTCTCCAAAATAAAAACCCAGTATTGAAAACATTTTTTTAATGCATTTTGCTAAGAAATCAAGTAAAACATCTAGAAAACCACGGCTAGCCATGTTTTCGCATGGTTTTCACTAAACGACCAAAAACGAAAAGTGGTTTTTGAAGCGTTTTTGTTGGAGAACTATTTAAATATGCCCAGAAGTAAAAACCAATCATTAAAAGTTGAAAACCACTTGGTTGGTTCGGACGCCAAAAACCAACGCCGATGACCGAAAGGCGAATGCCGGTTTCCGAAACCCGAACGCCGGATGGCTTGGTTTTTGGTTTGGGTGAACTCCAAGTGTTTTTAGGCATGTTTAGAACTTAAGAAGAACATTTTTGAATATGCAAAAAGTATTTTGATGATATGAGCCTAGAGAGCCAAGTTTTGAAAGTTTGTGCCGGTCTTGATCACATTAAGACCGACTCAATACAATTCTAAGTCTTCGTTCTTGATTCTATGTTCTTGGTTCTCAAATCATTATGCCATGTTCCTTTGCCTTGGTGTTGCTCAGTTTAATCTTGTTGTTGTCACGGCGGTTTGGTATTATCAAAACCTGTCATAAAACGAACACGGTTTAGTACGACATAGGCGTAAACCCGTGTTCCAACACGATGATCCCTCCTCCTCTGCCCCTCCCTAGTGATTTCTCTATTTATCTTTTATGAACATCTTATTTTTTTTATTTATGAGCAGAAAATTGATGCTCGACTGGCTTAGTTTGAACTTTTTATTTTTCCTTTGGTAACATTTATTTATGAGCTTGGTTTATTTCTATTTCAATCACTGGTTTGAATAATTGATGTGTGTTATTTCTTTTATTATCAGTCAAGCATTCCAACCATATTTTATACTCCTGAACTTTTTTTCCCAACCGTGGGGACGTGGTTGTGTTCAAGTGATGAGAGAAGAAATATCTGCTTGAAATGCTTGAATGGGAACTGTTTTACATGTATACTTGCAGGAAAGTTTTGTTTAACTTAGTCATCAATCCAACTTGAGTAGTTAATTAATAGATTGTCGTCCATATAAACTAGAAATTTTGAACGAGGGAAACAACGAGAACTTCGGGAACCCGCCCGAGAACGCCATGTCTGCTTTCATGGCCCAATTTTTACAGCAAATGGCGAATGCGCCAATGTTTTAGCAGCCTCAGCCGCCGTAGGGACACATCACCTTTAAAACCGTGAACAATAACGGAGCTGAAGAGTTTCTTGGGGACCGAGTGGCTGAACCCCAAGTGGCTCTCGACTAGATTGATCAGGTGGCTAGGGTGCTCAATGATCTGAACGTGCTGGTGAAAGGTAACCATGCAAGGATAGGCAGCGGAATATAAAATTTTAACATCCTAACATGATTATCTTGCCCAGAATCACGTACTAAAACTTATAGTAAGTAAGAAATTTATACCTTTTTCGTAAGCGGTAAAAACGAAGAAGTCGTAGGAAGAGCATTGAAAGTGCAAACGTAACCGTTCAAGCGTCCGGTCTCCAACTTTGACACACGAACAACGCCGGAGTCTACCACAATCTTTATGCTAGTAAAGATTATAGTAGTATAAAATATAAAGATTAAAATTGGGATAATAATAATCTTGTATATTTCTACAGAAAATATTTCTAATAATATTTAGAAAATATTATAGATATTTTCTATACATAAAATGATATTCATGGAACCCCAAATAATCACTTTCTCTCTCTTAAAATGAATATCATAATCTTTTTCTCTTCTTCTATGAAAGTGGCCTGGAGGAGCATTTAACAAATTCAAAGATGTGTAATTAATTTGTCATCAGCTAAATGACAAAACAATTAGCCAACTCAAATTCCAATCAAATAAAATTTCTCCTTTAAAATCTCTTTTGGCCGTAAGTGTAGATTGTGAGAAGGATTTGTGAAATTCTTCTCAACTTAAATGTTCAAAGTATATTTTATTTGACATCAAAAATTAATATAAATTATTTTTAAATCAAATAAAAATACCAATATCATTTTTAAACAAGTATAAAATATACTTTAAATAGTTTATGTCAAAATAGTTATTTTCATAATTAAAATGACAAACCAAAATAAAATATTCAATATAATATATATATATTAATCGGCATATATATATATGATATATATATATAACCGAATTATTATATATATAATATTATATTCCAAAATATTTTATTTTACTATTTTTACAAATATACAAATTACTTATTATCCCATTGTTTAATCCTACTCCTTAAATTGTCCAAAGTGTGTGACCCGTATAGGCACTTATAAAGTTGGCCACAGTATTGGCTCTGCACCAATACTATAAGCAATAAGCGGTATCTAGCAACACATTATTGCCCCCAGATTATAAGTTAAGACGTTTGCACCGTCAAAACCTTTCCACGACTTAGACTCTGTGTAACTCTATCCATTTGTCTCAATGTCTAGACTTAATGCAAGGGATTAATAAAATCTTGCTTGTATCCATTAAGTCATTCACTGATTTATCAAGTCTGACTGATAGGAACAGACATCATAAAAAAATCTCAGCATGGCCATGCAATTTCCTCAGTCATAACTTATCAGTGGGCCCCATAAGACATTAATCTCTTTAAAAAGAGTAGTGACAAATCCTATGTACGTAATCTACGTTTCTGAATACGTGCTGCGGCATACCCAAAACAAAGCCTGTATACCATCCTTATTTCATATGGCTTAGGACAATGCATCAAAGCATGCGGGTTCACATATGCAGAAAAACGTAATACTTCAAGTCGAAGGATAGTTACACCTGTGGTTGCGCTAAAGATGCTTTGAGCATGAACTAAAAGTTCAAGCAACATCTTTAGGATGGGTCAGTCCGGCATCCTATCATCTCCTGATAATATTTGCCCATGTGTGGATGCAAACACACTGTCATTGACTATGAGACTAAGTCAAACATCCAACACACACTAGTCTCACATGCATTAACGATATCCCACTCTCATTAATACTCGACTATGGACATTCTAATAAATATTTATTTCAAGATGTTAGTCTTATCAGCAGAATAACACTATCTGATAAACATCTTTAAATATAAATCTAGGAATATAATATTTGTTTACATTAGCATGAGATGTGTAAACATATTATATCTGCCTATACATGATAGAATTACGATAAACAGTTGGCCATCAGGGCACAACTCCAACATGAAGCATGAACGTGTATGAATGATGTTGCATGAAGCATGACGGTAAACATGGGTGTCATTACCCAGTGTTAGGCCGCTATTTGAGTATGTTGGATGCGATGAATGATGTTGCATGAAGCATGAACATGTATGTTGTGATTTATTTATAACCAAAGGATGAAATACCTTGAATGAACTCTAGGAGCTGACCTGAATGGGTTAGTGGCAAGTTATGCAATACGTTAGTAAGTTAGAGTCATGTGGTAAAAACGTGGGATGGAGATCTATGAACTATCGCTCCCAAGGGGACAGGGATCTCACCCACCCAACGAGGAACTCCTGAGTTGGTTTGAGCTTGACCTTCGTTCCAAAGGGGAATATCATGACTCCCATAGGCAAGTCGTATACAGTTAAGCTTTAACCTAGCATAGGTTGAAAGCGAAGTACAGAAAGAAAGTAAAGTAAACCAAGAGGAAGAAACCTGTTATTATATTCTGAATGTTGTATCTCTTGAAAGATGAGGTTATTGTTATATATGATGCATCCTATGTGTTGACATGATTGTGTTAAGCATGTTGTGTGCATGATATCATATGAGGATATGGGCTAGTGGGATCATTTATGGGTATAGCTGTATGTTAGATATTTCTCACTTAGCTTCAATACTGAGCGTGTAGCCCTTTTTCCTATTTGCTACACGTAGTTAATCTAGGGAATGATGAATTTGGAGACAATCCCGGAGGGCGATGAGGAGGCTGAGATGTGCGTGGCAGTGCTCGATGACTTTGAACTCTTATTTATTACTTAATAACTTATTACTATTTCGGGCATGATTCCCAAGTTGTGTTTTGAATTACGAATTAAGCTTCCGCAACCGTTTTCATTATTACTCCGATGGATATTGAATTATGTTCTGAAATGTTATTTAAATTTTTTTTGAAAAG